CTAAGAAATAAATCTACTAATTATTATTTCCAAAGAGAATAACTGACTTTTAAAATCACAGTAAAACTTGGAATTTCAAATGCAAAAAAGAAACTGCAAAAACTGTTGTTCTCCAGAGCATCTGAGCTCTTGCACCCCAGCATATGTCGTCAGTCTGGCTCAAATACAGTCTAATAAAAAATTTAAAAAGATAAAATAAAATTACAGTAAATTTTGAAGGTAGAGCTTACATTCTCTCTGGGACCTTAGAGCTATCGTACAAAGACACACTGTACTAAAAATACCAGAGACCAAAAGCATACTTAGGTGTTCATATTTGGCTGGGCCACTCCATAGTTACATTGAGACTAGCAGCCCTTTGGGGACGGATGCTGCCTTCAGTCATCAGCGTAGCATTTAAACCTGTATAAAACACTTCACCTCACCATTACAGACGGAATTGGTCAACACTAACTCTTTGCCTGCCACCTGGGGGTGCAGAGGAGGAGCCTGGCCTCAACCAACAGTGAGATTTTGATCAATTTTGGCCCTAGGCAGAAGTAAGCTATCTTATCAAAACTACGGATTATCTTGCATTTATGCACAATCTTTCTGTTGCTTACTTTATCCTTCTTCTAAGTTGTCCCTTTCATCATACCCTTAGGCTCCTTACTATGTGTTCAGCTATCTTACACTAAGAAATGCTTGTATTTGTTCAAACGGGGAAAAAAAAAAAAGAAAACATTCAAAATGTCTATCAGTGGGAGAGTGGATGAATATCCAGTAGAATATATTGGTCAAAGTAAATCATTTTCAGCCACACACAATATTATTAGCACTATATAAGTGAAAAGTACCAAAAGATTACAGATAGTATGAAACCTTTTAAAAAAATTTTTTAAAGGATTTTTATTTAGAGAGAGAGTGGGGAAGGGAAGGAGAAAGAGAAGGGAGAGAAGCACCAATGTATGGTTGCCTCTCGTGCACCTCCTACTGGGAACCTAGCCTGCAACCCAGGCATGTGCTCTGACTGGGAATCAAACTGGCAACCCTTTCATTCGCAGGCCGGCACTCAATTGACTGAGCCATACCAGCCAGGGCTGAAGCCATTTTTATGCAGTAAAAGAAAAGTAAACAAAAAAGTCACATGTGAGTTATTTTTAACCACTCAAAGCCCATTTCCTTATCAATAAAAGAGGGATAAATAGCCATCATACACGGTTGCAATGAGAAGTAAATCGTAACATTAATTGAATGTACACGTAGAATGCTCAGTATGCTCAAAAAAATAGTATCCTCAAGAACTATTTATATAATCTTTGATTAAAAACTGTCCTGGTTAAAGGCATTTTACAGATGAGAGAATAGGGTACAGAAATGGGCACTTTCTTTAAGGAGAATTAGGCCTTTCCTCAATCTTCCCTGAGAACACGCAAAATAGTCACCTAGTAATTTACCTTTCTATCCAGTCAGTAGAAGTTTTTGAAAATGAGACTTTGAGAACACAGGTAACATAAAACTTAGGAAAGGTATTTAAAAAACCCCTATGCCTTGGAATGTTAAATCACTTATATAAATATGTTTCAACTAAACTATATGACATTTTGACATAGGACATTCCACATTTTGACTGGAAGTTGGAAAGGGTATCAGAAGCCTCCTAAACTGGAAAAAGAAATGCTACTCAAAAGAATGCTACTCAACTCATGTTGTCTGAAAGACCTGTGAACACGAAATGAAGTTATGTGTGGCAGAGTTCATATTTAAATTGGGATTTGTTTTGTCCAAAGCCTGTGTGCTCTTCACCTTCTACTCTACAGCTGTCCTTACTCTTGAGATTCACTTTCCTTCTTCCTTGCCTTAGTGTATCATCATTTTATTTTAAATTTAAACTGCTGCTGACTTTTTTCCTAGTTTTTTGAGGTTTTTTTCTTCTGCCACGGTCATTCTTCACTCCCTTAATTGTAGGCACACAGTTTTAAATATCCTTCAATAGGCTGTATTCCAAACTTTACTAGTTTAATTTGATGATGTGCTGGATACCATTTAGAGTTTTAATAGTGTAAAGAGGGAAAACCAATAATCAGAGGAGAATGCTTCCATGGCAAGCTACAGGCAGCATTTTGAGTTCCGATCAACAACGGGTCTAGGGAATCAATTTGACTATATTTCCCTTTTCTGAAAGAAACTGCTAAGCTACTTATGTAAAATAAAATGATTTTAGGTCTAATAAAATTTTTCTCAGGTGTTTAATGATCAGACTAGGGTTAGTAAGTCTATTTATTAATTATCATTTGAACACACTACTTATTCTATTTAATATACTGTCTAGAAAAGAAGTTGATGAGGTAATCTCTACAGATACCGGGGAAGGGATGAAGATATCAGGACATACCAACAACATCTGCCTCCTGAATACAATTTTAAAAATATGACACCACCCATCTAGTTAAATAAAAATCAAAATTCAGTAGGTCATGAGTATCTTAGAATAACTTTAAGTGAGACCATCTTTAAGAAGAAAAGATGACTGGAGTTTTTTTGAGGGGCTATGATCAGAGGAGATGGTAAAGAGAAGGAAATTCTGACTGTGAAAAACATAAGGAATCCTAACTTTAAAAATGATGGTTTAAGCTTAAAGACACTTTTATTTCTATTTATTATAGATAAGTAATATAACTTCTTAGAAACTCCAAAGGCTAGAGAAACAGAAAAACCTGGGCTAAATATATTTTTTCCTAATTTTTATTGGCCAGAACTTTAAATTTCGACACAATGTCTTCATTTATTCACCAGATATTTATCTAGTACCTGCTTTGTGTCAATCAAGATGCCAAGTGCTGTGGATATAACAGTGAATAAAAACAGGCATGACATCCGACACTAAGAAGCTTATAGGTTAGTGGTAGAAGGACAATAATCATATGCTTTCAAACATACATGTAAAAATATAACTGTTAGCATATGTAGTACGTGCTGCTAGAAATAGGGGTCCCTAGGAAAGAAGGTGTTTGACCTCATCAGAGAAGGTACTTTGTGAGCGTAATAGCTGAAATCTAAAGGACATTGCCTAGACCAGGGGCTTTCAATGAGCTGGTGGTGGTAGTAGGGGTACTTGCCATGGGACCTTTGGCAATGTCTGGGGGCATTTTTGACTGTCACAACAGGGAGACACAACTAGCATCTAGTGAGGAAAGAATAAGGATACAGCTGAATATCTTAAAATGTACAGGAGAGTCCCCTACAACAAAAAATTATCTGGCTTAAAATGTCAACAGTGCCAAGGTTGAGAAATCCTGAAGTAGGCAAAGGGAAAAACATGAGTCAAGACCGTGGTGGGAGACTCAAGCAGAGAAAACAGGCGCTAGACCATTCAAGGCTTTACAGACCCTGTTAAGGAGTTTCAGCAATACTCAAGAATAAAGGGGAAGAAAGTAAAGGGCTTCAAGAGGAGGAGGAGCTGGGGCATGAGGACAGTGGTGGCAACCTGCTCAGAGTAAGATTTTTAAAAAGTTACTAACTGCAGTATGACGAACAGATTGGAAGGGAATGCAACTGGGTATGGGTGGATGAGATAGGTAGCTAACTAATCTAACTTTTTAGAAACTCTACAGGCTGGGCAAACAAAAGGTAGTAGTGCTGAGGATGTAAAAGCAGTCAAAGAACTTCCTTCTATACAGTGCATCATGGGAAAAGGAGAAAGGAAGAATCGCAATCACTCCCACATCGGGTAGGGAGCTGCGCGCCCCGGTGCGTCCTCCAGAGTTCTCTCAAGGTGAAGCAGGGATCCCTAAGGAGTGCCTTCTTTGTGCGTGAAACTAAGGGATAAGAGTATTCCTTCTTTCTTCTTGAATGAGACATATGGTTACTTACCATCTTATTTGTAAGGATTCAAGCAACAAAAACTGGAGTAATTAAATTTTAATGTACAAGCTATATCCCACATGTATAATCAGACGCCTAGGAAGTGATAAAACCAATGACTGGCTCCACTGAGTATATCCGCAAGGATGTGTTTTTCTTCAATTATTATTACATTAAAAACTAAATAGAAACTATTAAATACTATTTTATTATAAAACATACATAGAAAAGAGAAAATATAATATACAACCTATGGTTTAAAGAATAATAAAAATAATACTCATGAACTCACCTCTAAGTGGCAATTTTTTTTAAATAGAAAAATTTTCATAAATGTTTTATTTCATAAATGGCTTTTGAGATATAAATTTATGTTAAAACTACATAAAGGACACTGAAGGTGACACTTTCCACCACTGCTCAGTAATATTATTAAATAAAGAAAACCTCTCTCATATAAATACTTAACAATTCATATATTTAAAAGTTTCATTTAGTATCTGACAGTATTCACATTCCAGTTGACAGTTAATTTGATCAAACAAAATGAGTCCTTTTTTTTTTTTTTTACTGTTTTATCAAAGTCAACTCCACAAATTTGTAACATTATCCTTTAAAACATAGGTTAAAACTGGTCTTACTTCTATACACACAAAAATAAAAGCTTTGGAAAGAAGCTTTTTAAAATGGCCTGATTTTTCTCTAGTGATTGACATATTTTGGTACTATTATACCACCTTATCATGCCTTATATAATGAAATATTAACATTTTATGTCAGGTTTGTATTTAAATTAAATGTAACTGTGTATCTGGCTAAAAGACATAGCATTGTACTAAACCATTATAAGACAATAGTGACACATAAGAAATAGAATTTATTTCTTTGGAGTGGCAATAGACTCAAACTCCAAAGCTTCTTTTAAATCAAGAATTGTATGACTGGATATATGTCTGGTTTAAAATGAAAACAAGGATAATATGAGCTTCATCCTTTCCAGCTGCAGTTCAAGAAAGTCTTCAATTTAACTAATAACAGGGCAAAAAGTATTCCCTCAAAAAAAGAAGAGCTATCACAATTCTATTCCAATTAAGTATTTATACATTTCCTCTCATTCAAACAGTGATATTAATATTAGTCCTTAAAGAATTACTCACCCAATAAAAGCCACCATCTGTTCCACTATGTGTTTGCTGAATGTTATTATAACAAAAATTTTCTGCAAAGAAAACACCAGTTTTAATATGAAAATAATTATTTAATATTAATAAAATGTTAAAATAAATATTTCTCTCATCAAAAAATAAAATATAAATTCACAGTTCTGGTAAGTCTAAAAAGGTGAGGTGCTGTCTCTAATTGCAATTCAAAAATTCTTTATAAAAAAATAGGAAACACGATTTGCTACCTACTATGTATTTTAAAAATGTTTTTCCTTAAGCACAGTTCTAGTCTTATTAGGATACATGACCAAGTCAGAGGGAAAATATGAGTCATGAAACCAAAGACTGGGTGGACATTCCAGATGTCTTATGTATCTTAGAATAGTGAATACAACTGAAGTCATGGGTCCCCATAGAGCCCCCAGCACTGAAATTAAAGCTGGTCAGGCTGATGACAGAAGTCTAGACTAAATCTAATCCTGGGAATCTTGAAAAGACTACACAGTTAATGGGAAGTTTTTGTAGAAGGACGTATCATGAAAGTTTCATTGTTAGACCCTGAATGAACCTGGATATTTGGATTCGGGTACAAACACAGGCATCAACAGATTGCTGAGGATCATACCTAAGTCATTTTCAATTTTGTGTTATGGAGGTAGTCAATAACACCATTAATTAAAAATGTTGATACCTTGCCTTACAAGTAAAGATGCCTTTAAGAGCCAATAGCTAGTAAATATTCTCAACTCAATTCAGTAAGTGTTACAAAAATGGATAATATAAGGCATTATTAAGAGTTTTCAAATACACAAAAATGAGAATACTTCTTTGATGGCCGGAAGGTTATTTATATTTTTCTATACACAATAGAAAGATGGTAAGTACTATATACATGTATGTATGTATGTATGTATGTGTGTGTGTGTGTGTGTATAAAACTGTAAATGCCATTAGTGGTGAAAGCATTGTGATAGAGAAGTTCAGAGAAAGGAAAGGTCATATAAGTACAATTAATTAGACTCAAGAAGGTGATATTAAAGTTTAAGTTAAAAAGGACTGAAAAGTGCAGGCATAGGTAAACACAGTTCACTTTTCACACAACCACACCAAATTACAACTAAACTAGAACCACCATCACTCTGAACCATCAGAAATCAAGTTGAATGGAAGTCACAAAATTACGGAATTAAAGAAACTACATCCATCTAAACTGGTAGGAGGGGCAGAGATGTGGAACAGGCTGGTCCCTCCCCCACATGTGATAGATAAAAATTCAGGAGGGATATCTCGGGACTGAGGAGTCCCACCCCCACACCAGAACCCCCCAGGCCAGGGTTTCAGTGCCAGGAAGATAAGTCACCATAACTTCTGGCTGCAAAAACCAGCAGGGACTGAGTTGGTAGAAAAAACTTCCGGAGTCCCAAGCAGTTCATCTTAAAGAACCATCATACAAACTTACTCAGAATCACTCTCTTTGAGCTCCAGCACCAGGGTAGCAACTTGAAAGGCACCATTGACATACAGGAAGGAAGTGAAGCATTTGGCATGAGGGTGAGAGCTGGGCGACAGTCTTCTCCCAGAGAGAAAAGCAGGCAGAGGCCATTGTCCCTTTTCTGAACCCTCCCCCGACAGAGCCACAAAGCTGGCAAGCTGGTGCCATATCTGAGACTCTGTCAACCTGACTAACACTGTGTGCCCAGGCCTGGAGAACCTGTGAGGCTCTGTCCCACCCAACTTATGGACCCGCCCAAAGTGTTAACAGTGACTTTTCCATATGAATGGTTGGTCTTGGTTCATGCTTTACAACTTCCTAAATCCTCTCAAACAAACAACAGCTGGCTTCAGCGAGCCCCCAGCCCCTGTACCTCTTGCTAGCGGCCCAGGGCCCAGCACTAGCAGGAACCAGCCTAGGTCCACAGCTTGGCTTTGCCTGGGAATCTCCAAGCCCTGTACAAGTAGCATCCATCTCAGATTGCTTTGTGGCTCAGGCAGGGTGGCCCCAGGCAAAACACAGGTGGGGGCTGACCTTGGCCCGTACCACCCTTGGAAACCTCAGGGCAAGCGCACCCAGTGGACAGCTACAGACCACGTCAGGGTACTACTACCCTGCCCCTGCAGAGCTGATCCTCCACAAAGGGCAGAGGTTGGTGGTCAGTGGTCACAGCCAGTCTTTGCAGCTGACAGGTCAGGGTAAATCCCTCTCATTTACCTGCCAACAGCAACGAAAGCTCAATTACAAGAGATTGTACTCAGCCCACACAAAGGGCACACCTCAAGTACGCAGCTTGGGTGACGGGAGGATGTGTCATGGGACCCTGTAGGACACCTACTACATTAGACCATGCTACCAAGCAGATCTACCTAATACATAGAGACAAACACGGGGAGGCTGACAAAATGAGGAGACACAAGAAACATGGTCCAAATAAAGAACAGACCAAAACTCCAGAAAAAGAACTAAATTGAATGAAGAAAATCAATCTATCAGATGAAAAGTTCAAATCGTTGGTTATCAAGATGCTCAAGGAACTTAGTGAAGACCTCAACAGCATAAAAAAGACCCAGTCAGAATCAAAGGATACACTAATTAAAATAAGGAACAATTTACAGGGAAACTACAGTAAAGTGGATGAAGCTGAGAACCAAATCAATGATTTGGAACATAAGAAGGTAAAAAACAAACAGTCAGTGCTAGCTGGTGTGGCTCAGTGGATTGAGTGCTGACCTGCGACAAAAAGGGTCACTGGTTCGATTCCCAGTGTAGGGCACATGCCTGGGCTGCAGGCCGGGTCCCCAGCAGGGGGCATGCGAAATGCAACAACACACTGATGTTTCTCTCCTTCTCTTTCTCCCTCCCTTCCCCTCTCTAAACATAAATAAATAAAATCTTAAAAAAAAAAAAAAATCAACTTGTTTAAAAAAAAACAACAAACACGGAACCGCAAGAAGAAAAATGAATCCAAAAAAACAACGATAGTATAAGCAGACTCTGGGACAACTCCAAGAGCTCCAACATTTCCATCATAGGGGTGCCAGAAAAAGAAAGAGCAAGAAAGTAGAAATCTATTTAAAAAAAAATAATGAATGAAAACTTCCCTAATTAGGTGAAGGAAATAGACATGCAAGTCCAGAGAGCACAGAGTCCCAAATAAGATGGATGCAAAGAGCCCCACTCCAAAACACATCATAATTAAAACACCAAAGGTTACAGATAAAGAGAGAATCTTAAGAGCAGCAAAAGAGAACCAGTTAGTTACTTAGAGGGGAGTTCCCATAAAACTACCAGCTGATTTCTCAAAAAACAAACAAACAAACAAACAAACAAACAAAACTTTTCAGGCTAGAAGGGACTGGCAAGAAATACACAAAGTCATGAAAAGAAGGGACCTACAGCCAAGATTGCTCCACCCAGCAAAGCTATCATTTAGAATAGAAGGGCAAATAAAGAACTTCCCAGACAAGAAAAAACTAAAGGAGTCCACCATCAGCAAACCATTATTATACAAAATATTAATAGGACTTATTTAAGAAAAAGAAGATCAAAACTATAAACAATAAAATGGCAAAAAAAAATTCAAATCTATCAAGAATTGAAGCTAAAAAACAAACTAAGCAAACAAGAGGAACAGAGACAGAATCATGGAAATGAAGAAGGTTTCGATGGATTCAATGGTAAGAAGAATCGCAGACAGATTTATTTATTAAATATTTACTGAGTCGCTACTACATGCCAGATGCTATTCTAGGCAGTAGAATACTTTAGTGAGCCAAGAGATAAAAATCTCTGCCCTCATGGAGTTTATATTCCTGTATATGTGTATGTTGTGGTGGGTGGGGAGGTAGAGAGGCAATAAACAATACACATGATAAATAAATTTTATGGTACATTAATTATACATGTGAACGTTGACTTCTCACCTTCTTCATTATTAACGTTTCTAAACATCCTTCTACAGGCTGAGGACTTCAACTTGTAGGAGGGAAAATCCTGATTTAACGTTATTGGGTGGGCTGCTTTGACATTTTTAGAGGAGGTTTAACAAACAGCAAAATATCAATAAAAATAATAGTATTTATCAAGGAAAGCTGTCCAGTTTAAGATGTGGGGAAAAAAAGAGAACCAGAAGAGACAGGTTTACTATTAGATTACAGAAAAATCTGTGTGTGGTGTCTCCTGTTATTTCAGAAATAGTTACAATGTTTATGTTACTCGTTAATATTGCTTACCCAAGGAATGAGAAATGTTTGTAGCCCTGAACTACAGCTGGATGTACATCAAGTGACATGCCTTGAGAAAGCACGTCTCTCTGATAAAATGTAACAAAGAGAACAAACATATTCCATGTTCTCAGTTTAGTAAAGGAACTCAGATTCTTCCCTTTCAGAAACACAGATGGATTTTAACTTTCTTTTTTTTCTCCTTCCACACAGAAACAGGGAATGAGCTTTACCTTTATAGAGGTTGGTTTGAATATCTGGGCCTTAGGCACATATTTTATATTCTCTAACAACTCAGTTCCCCCATATGTGAAATATGGGTAATAACCACCTCACAGGACTATGCTGAGATAACCAATGCCAACTACCTGGTGTAGGTCCTGATAAATGGCAGGCACCAAACAATCCAGTTTTCTTAATCATATAAATAATTTATAGTTAGGAAGACAATTCAAAAGACTGGAAAAAACACTGAACTTGAAACCAAAAGACTAGGGTTCAAATTCCAGCTGTTACTTACGCTTAAGTACCTATTACTTATTAAACTCTGGAAGCTGGACAATTTCAAAATGGGAGTAATAATTTCTCTATCCCAGGATTATAATGATTAAATCAGATGACATACACTAGGTACTTTAAAGTGTGAAGTATTGCACACACACACAAACATACACAACATTATTGTAACTTAAAAAAAATCTGAGAATGTTTAAAAAATATACTGTTTTTTACTATGCTCTAATGGAAGGTCTGTTAGGTTGCATATCCTATCATTAGTGTACTTTTAGCATAATAAAATTTACTATAATTTATGGAAGAGTACTATCTAAAGCAGGATGCATATTTATGGATTCCTACAGAAGTTACTGTTATAAAGAGAACTAAAGAAGTCTGTTGTTACTTTCAAAGGACGCCCCAAAGCTAAATGATAGCTTTTTTCTTCCCCTGGAAAGAACTGAAAAGAATGTAGAAAATACTATCTTCAGATACACTGCAAAATAATATATTGTTCACCGCAATATTTTATTATTTGAAAAATCCTGTTATGGTATTTAAATCTTTACCAAAGAAACTAGCATTATAATATTAAAGAACTCATACTCATCAAAAAATATGCTTAATTTAAGTGGGAAAAAATATATTCCTTGAAAGAGGAAAATCACATCCTTGAAATTTTGAGTGATTTTCATGACAGGAGAGTATAGGACATGTTCAATGAACTCATCTCAAATGTCAAAATCTAGTATTAGAAACTGGGCAGGCAGAAGCAGCTGAAAATTTTGTTTCATTCTTCCCTTTAAGAACTAAAGGTAGAAAGATGTTAAGCAAAAACCGGGGAGATAGACCTGTTTTTAATTATTAAGGAATCACACCAGGATAGACATTGCCTTTCCTTTGGTGAATGCCTCTCTTTGTTGCAAACCTCATTGATTAAGAAATTCTTTCCAGGTTAATTTTATTTTATTCTGGTGAGACTTTCCCTTAGAAGGAAACAATTCATATCACAGTCCTAGAAGCACATATCCATTTCCCCTCATTTAAGTTTTTTTTAGTCTCTTTTCTTTCCTTTAGTCATACAGTATATACTACAGATTTTGTTAAAAATGGCTTTGAAACAGATTTTCACTTCTCTAACCACAACCCACATCTTTTTGCTTCTTCAGAGACCCCTTTCTTCTCCATTCTCTCTGACACTAACATCTGTCTGGTTTTCTGTAAAGGATACTGGTATCTTGAGAGGAAGTGTTATATACAGTGTGTGAAAGAAAAGTAGAAATAGTGAAAGGAAATATTCTCTCAGCTCACGGTCAGTAAAGGTACATTTTTTGGACTACATATGCGAAAATGATAGACATTTGGTAAAAGTCCTAGATGAACAGTTTCACAAGGCAAAAAGTAAAATAAAGAAAGATGAACAAATGAGGGTAGAAACAAAGAAGGAAGGAAAACAAAGAGAAAAATAATAAGAGAGCTCAATTTTCCAACAGGGAGGGGGAAAACCTGCCAAAAATCCACTAACCTCTAAATGACATGGTTAGAAACCTAAGCAAGCTACCAACTAAAAGAAGTAGAACCGAAATCTTAACAATTCAGCTTGGAATGGACAAGGGAAACATATTTCAGTGCCTTTTAGTGGCTCATTATCATTATGCAGGAGATAAGACAATAATATGATTACCTGAATATGCATTTTAATTATTGCTTTTCCAATCAAGGTTGCACCAAAGAAAGTCCAAAAAGGTACAAGAAAGTGTCCACATGTTATTCCAGCCAGATCAAATAGAGGATTTGGAATCTGCAAAATAAATTAAGCAAGTAAATAAATAAATGGAACTTCCACATATAATCCAAAGAACAGTTTACTTTTACCACCTGGAAGTAAGTCCTTACTCATACTACAAAGAGATGTATGGTTCCTTGATCAGTACTAGGCTGTTCAGAAGTTCAGGCAAGTATTCTAATGTGTCTATAAATTGAGTCTCACATTCATCTCAGGCTGTTGTTCAATCTGTTCAAAGCAAATCAGCTGTCCTTTCGCTTGCATTACTTATGGTTAATGTACCATAATATACTTTTTCTATCACATTAGAATTGGATAAAGCTAATGGAGCCACAGTAATTTAATGCTATTCAGTGGATACTTGGCTATTTGGTAGCCGTTTTCTAAGGTGAGGTATAAATGAGAAAAAAATCTTAAGATTATTTCAGAAGTTACTAGGGTTTGAAAATCTTTTAGCCTGGAATAGAATATTATCTATATAGTGTAAACATTCTTGTAAATTCACAAATACATTTATGGGTGGATGTGCTTTTACTTCTCAACATAAAAAAATAACTCATTATTTGTATTTTATTTTATGAGAGCCTAAAGCTGCAGGGCTGTATGATACATTCTAAAAAGAAAATAGCCCTGGCTGGCGTGGCTCAGTGGACTAAGCGCTGGCCTGTGAACCAAAGGGACTCTGGTTCAATTCCCAGTCAGCGCACATGCCTGGGTTGCGGTCTGGGTCCTTGGTGGGGGACACGCGAGAGGCAACCACGTATTAATGTTTCTCTCCCTCTTTTTCTCCCTCTCTTCCCTTCTCTCTAAATATTTAAAAAAAAGAAAGAAAATAATGTGTGGCAATACAAAAGCACTGATTCAGATGTTCTGAATATTCAGTACCAGACAAAGAGTGATTCACAACAAATACCTTTCCCAAACATTTCCATATTTCAAGACTGCTAAAAGATAATTTCATGTAAAAATGCTAAGAAACCACAGGCTGTTTTTGAGTGCTTCATCCATTTTTTCCCCCACAGAAGTACTCAGTCCTTGTGGCTGTTAGCCAAACTATAAGTCAATTAATTTATATAATTTCAGTTTTGAACTTTCAAAGAAAAGCCTAGTTATTTAAAAAATATTTGTCACATACATCTTTTTAAAAACATGGCCACATTAAATTAGAATTCAAGTATTCTTTTATTAGTAACACTTGGATTCAATAACTGTTTTGTTTTTCCCATCTAAATTCAAAGCCTTTATGCAATTTCATCTGTTTTACAACCATGTAATACCAGTATCATGTCACAGCCTTACAACTGTCATTTCTTATATATTTTCCTGTGACCCTTACAACTCTGCCAATTACAATTTTTGTCAGGCTCCACAACACACACAAGTGTGAACACCCAATCATCACACTTACGAACAGCAGAGGATCCACATACATAACCTTAATCCTCACATCAGCCTTTGTAATGCATGTCTTATTGCTCCATTTTGAAAATTAACGACCTAGAGCTTAAACAGAATAAACTGACTGAAATTACATAGAGTAAAAACTGGTTTAGGAACCTAAGCCTGACTCCAAAGCCAATTCTTTCTACTATGTCACACTACAACACACCTATGATTGCTCAAATAGTTAAGATCAATATTGTGATAAAGGCACATGCATATTTTAGAGTATCTCTAGGATGTTGATATCAGGTAAGATGTTTTGGCACCCAATGATCTCCTTTTTGGCCATATGCTTTGTTAAGGGGTGGAAAAGGGGTACTCAAAGATGTATTAATGTTCTAGTACGTAAGAGAGAAAATAGCTGGGTAAGTAGACAATAATTTTGTGAATTTTACTTATAATGGTAGCTTTTTTGATATGAACTAGTTATACCTAGTTATTCTGGCCAAATGCACCAGTGAACTACCAAAAATTGTGCACAGGCAACCAAAGAAAACTTCAATCAAAAGGCTCCATTTCAAATATGATTGTTTCTATTATATTTGAAAATGACCAGGATAAACGCTAACTCATCAAAGAATGTTAATTTCACAAATCTGCAATTTGAGACATTAAGAAAACTTTTTTCAACTAGGGTTTATATTCAATATTATTTTGTATTAGCTTCAGGTGTACATTATTGTGAAGACATTAAGTTTTCGACATACAGGGCTTCTTAGTTCACTCCAGCCAAAGATGCCCTTAATTTTGCAGTATTGTTCCAATTATCTAACAAGGTGTTAGTGTCACTTAAGACAGGTTTTATACAAATTCTTATTTATACTAACACCTGAAACTTTGGAAGAGGAAGACTACTTTTCTATAACTCTGGAAAGAATGAAGTCATTGCTCTCTGGTTAAATGCACTCCCTTATAAATTCTGCATGGAAAGGATTTTGTCTCTTGTTCGTACTGAATCAAGCCATCTAGGCCTGAAGTCATCATGGCATGATGGAGTACTTAGAAGTTTAATAAATGAAATATGAACTTATCCAACAGAAAACAGCTCATCTGATGAGCAAGATGAATGAATAATAAAATTATACACCACTAAAGGTGATAGCATTGTTGTTCATTCAGGCATGTATCTTTAAAAACAAATTGGATAAAAATATAAGTCCACCATTTATTTGGATTTATCACTTTTAATACATTTTACTTACTGAAGCACAGGCCAAAATTCCAAAAAATCCAACCTTCTGTACTAGGTTCTGAACTGCCAGCTTAGCCCGGGAGGCAAAGTCCTACATAAAAGAAGGATATCAAATCATTACTGAAAAGTACAAGGAGGAAGGAAAGATGATTGTTTACAGTTTATAGTATTAAATGTCTCAAGGTCTAAAAGCATCGATTCATTTAATGAGTAAGATGAATTATTTTTAAAAATTACAGGTTGCCCTAGAAAACATGCAAATAAAATCTTGATAGAACATTAATTACATCTTTAATGATAAACTTGTACCAGATTTCAAGAGTAAGCCAAAACACTGTTATGGTACTTCATTTTTTTGGATCCTCTCTGATTATCTAGGGATGAACAAAATGCTATAAACTAACCATGAACCAACTCATTATTTTGGAAATACTGGCCTACCACATCTATGTCTCTTCCCTTCTAAAACTTGCCAGACTTGCTCCCTGATTAATATCATGGTAAGAAATCATAGGATTTTTCAAGACAGCTGATGAAGACACCTGTGCAGATCACTACTCAGGAGATGGAAAAAACAGTTATGTGGTAACAACTAAGCATTCATTACGCGTAAAAGCAAAATAACATCCTACATTTGCACAGCTTGTGCTAGTTTATAAAGTGTTTTCACAAATATTTTACTCAAGACTTTAAATAATCCTAGGGTGTAGATAGAGCAGATTCTTCAGACTCTGAAATCATTGCTCTTTTTATTTCTCTGTTGCCACTTTTGATGCTGAAACATGCATTTGGCTGGCTAATTTCCATAATTTTCTTCTTTCAGCATGCTGATATTACAATTATGTATATATTTTTCTTAAAAGTACCAATCTGAAATTTGACTATAATCCTTTCTTATTTTGAAGTGGTATGTACTTCAATCAAAATTTAAAAATATTAGCTACTGTGTAAATGTTTTTTTAAAAAGTGTTCACATCACAGAATCTCTTCCTCTCTCTTTAGTTCAGTAATCTAATAGGCAAGAATCTTATAAAAAAGTCAGGATATTAAAAAAAAAGAGAGAGACAGTTCCTTCATAGAATAAGAATAGGATATAAACCACTTCTCTAAGCTACAACACAAGTTGTATATTCCTACTTTAAAAAACAAACAAAACAAAAAATACCTTCAACAAATAATATGTATAATAACCCTCTAAGTTTCTACAACATTAAAATTTTAAAAATTTAAAAATAATAATACCTTCCCCCTACTTACTTGTTGAGGATGGTGAGAAAGTCAAAGGAATTAAACCAATAAAGTATATGTACTTTAAAAGATATTAATAGTCAATATAAACAGTTTCAAGTTTAAGTACATAGGCTCTCAAAGTTAATTATTTACTAAAGTCTACAATGTAATTTTGTAATTTTACAATCTATTTCCAAAGAGAGAATTTTTCTTTTGAGAATTAGCCTTATTTTTAAACAGCTGAACTACTGCAGTAAAAGCCACTTTCCATTTTAATTCAGATCTCTAACTGAAGATTCAATTTTTCCTCGTAAATTAACAAATATGTACTAAGGGTGAAATACTGATTTCATTGATTTAAAAACTGTTTAAGACTATATAATAAAATTCAGTTTTCCAAAAGAACATAAAAATAAATTACACTCCCATTTATTTTGAATCACTTACACAATAAATTACTAAATTTGTAATTTATTAGAAGCACTAAATAAAAACTGGTAAGCCATAATGAAAAGATGTTTTGAGATTTTAACATGTCAAACAATACATTTAGATAATGAACTAGTTATGAAATTTTCATTAATATAGCCTGAGAGTTAAAAATATAAATTCAGGAAAATGCCTTCTTTTATAACCCTTAATATCTTCAGAGCAAATCCACTCTAGTAAGAAACAACAGTATTCAGTTGCTAAAAAAAAAAAAAAAAAGTAAAAATAAGAAAAAGGCTATACAAATTTTATTTTAAAGATAACACTTTTTATAAATGTGTTTTCCAAGTCAAATATATGTGGGGACATTTTTCTATCACAGGATTTATGTACTCCTCAATATATAAAATTATAGACAATCAGACTGTTGCATAAAGTAGTATAAACAAGATCAACATTATTTAGAAGGTTTATTGTTTTTTTTAAAAATTTCAATTACAGTTGACATACAATATTATAGGTGTCCTGTTTCTTTGTATGTCAAGGCTTTAGAATCTTATATTTATTTAAACCAGGTGACTATGTTAGTGCCATCATTTTAAACTGATGGTGTTTCTCTAATAGTCATACACACACACTTAAATTGGAAAATAGTATAATTATACCAATGAGTTTATACATAAATATAATTAAACATTATGCAGATCATCTTATATACAAAATAATAAAAATATTTAAGCCTATAGAAGTTCAAGGAATCATATTTTTAAAAACAACCTGAAAGTAAGGAGCCATTTTATCCCTGTGGGACAGAATCTCTTTACTCAACAGAAATCAGACAAGAACAAAGGAAAATAGACTCCTTGTTCTTTCAGATGCCTGGGTGCCCATCATCAATTATTCTTAATAGGTCTTCAAGAATTTTTATTTGAGGGAAGAGTTACTCTATCCAAATAAGTGAAGTAAAAACCTTCCTTAACCTTATTTTTTAAAATTATGTTTTAGCAGGCATATCTTATAAGGAAAACAAGTTAAGTGCCTTTTAATGGGGAGTTTTTACTTTTTAAAAAGTCTATAAGTCATGTACTGAAAATGAGTTTCATAAATCTTATGTGTTTAACACACAAGCACACGGTGACCATGCTACTTTCGGTTCCTATAATTTATTTTCCAAGTCTTTCACAATATTCTTAGAATTGAAATTACATTTGTACATTAAACCACCCACGAGCATTTATTTAAGTTATACTAATATGAAGTCTGTACAACTGTTTTCATTACAAGAAACCAACAGTACAAGAATATGCAGCTTGAGGAAGTATTTTCTTGATGTTTTTTCCTTGCCAGCGCAATTAAAACTCAGGGAATCAGAGTATTGGTATTTATACCAAATTTAAAATAATTTGCAATAGTAAAAGAACTCATGTTTAGATTTCATAAACACAAACATTTTGTTTTTATTTTAAACTTATTTCACTTTAAAGTTATATATTCAAAACTTACTGATATGCCTTTAGAAGCTTTATTAATATAATTTTATTGAAATGTCCTTTTACTGTCTAAAATATTTCACATGTAGTTGTACTTTGCTTGTTGCTCTGTAGTTTTAAAACTTTATTTTTTTTGTAAACAACTTGGTAATTTTTCATTATTTGCATAATTTGACAGCTTTCTTATGTTTATTTTAAAGTAACATTCTGGGTATTGAAATATTTATACTTCCACCTGCTTTAAAATAGAGAACTGTACTGTGGGTATATTTTTTGACAGTAAACCCAAATAAGCCCCCCGTCACCAAACCAGCATAAACTCCTATATTAGTAAAGTTTAAAAGAACCATTTCTAACAAAATTTGCTATTCTTTGTAGGCAATCAAGTAATATAAATAAGCCAAGAAAAAATATGCACCAACAATAAACAACATTTTAAAGAGAAAGTTTAACAAATTAGTATTTTAGGAATTCAATATTCAAATAACACATAAAAGAAAATTAGTATTTCACTTTAATTGTTTTGGTGTATTTGTGGGAACAATGTAGTAAGTTTAATTTGATTACTTCCTCAGTTGTTATTCTTCATTTTTTAAAAATATCTGTACAACTAAAACCAAATTCCTTTTAATAGTTTCATTTCTCTGGAATCACATTTCACAACGTTTACCTATTTCACAATTTAAGTGCCTGAAAGTTCCATTCTCTGGCTCTACCTAAGTAAACAGCATGCGTTTACAATTAGTTATCACATTACTTTCCACTTTTAAAAAATAAACAAAATACAAGTAAATAAAATGATCTTTCTTACTTCCACTAACAGTGATTGTATACATAACCAATCATGTTTCTGAAACTAAGGAGAGACACTAGGAACATCTCCCAGTGACTACAAAGAGGCAGATGAAGAAAAGCTAAGTCCTTATCACTGAGATTTCAAGGAATAACAACCACCACCACCACACGAAGTCTTAAGTATGAATATTCTACATTACTTTTGCTTCACATTTCTTTTTCCTAAGAAATATTATATATTTATGATTAAGGGAGAAGAGAAACGGTATTGCTAATTATAATTGGCTTGCAAAATATCAATCTTTGAATCTAAAGATGTCAACTTGCATCTAAATATATGAAATAACATTTATTTTCAAATAGCAACAATCATCTGTTTCATTTTCATAAGTGATCACATGAAATTTCAGGAGCTCTTTAAAGGTAACAGACAATTCCTACCCATGTTAAATGAACGCAGTATTACTGGAGAAAAATATGTATTTGGTTAAAAGCTCATGTTAGTTGGAGTTGACTTATTACCATCAATGTAATGGTAACTGTTTAGTAATTTTATAAATTATCTGCCTTCTTAATACATTATATGTTAAAATTGCTGAAATGCTCTTCTTGGTGTTTGTATTAACAGTGACTTCATAGCCAATATTAAAAACCACAGAGCAACTCCTGCAATAATAATTCCTTGTATATAAGGGAAATTTGTTAAAATATATTGTATTCGTGAAGTTCTTTTGCCATCTCAAATGTTAGTGTGTCCTAGTCAATTAGGTTGTGTCAAGCAAGCAAAACTCTATTAACCAGAAATAGAGCTAAATACTAAGAATGACTTAATGTTATAAGCTGTTTCAGTATCATGAACAATCACTCTGAAATATTAACTTGTTATTGAGATTCCAATAACCATGGAGTGATTTTCTACGATGAAATCATATTCCACATAGTAAACAACACAATTACAGGGTACAATTATTTCTCATCTTCATGGAAAGTGCAATGAAACATAACTCATAAGTTCAAATATTTCTTACCTTAAAACAGACTAAAATGTGTCTTAATTACAATTTTCCACCCATTATCAGTTATTTATATTTTCATATAAAAATATAGAGCATTAATTCATTCAATTTAAAGTGAACAAAATACTTTT